AGGAGGCGGCGGCGGCAGCGGGGGCGGCGGCGGCGGGGATGGAGGGCTGGGTGGTGGTGGTGGAGGCTGCGGGGGAGGAGGAGGAGGGGGGCTAGGAGGCGGCGGTGGCAGCAAGGCAGGCGGCACGCCAGGCGGGAGCGGTGCAGGAGATGGCGGTGCGGGGCTGGGCGCCAGGTGGGAGAGGTGCAGGAGAGGGCTGGGGTGGTGGTGGTGGGGGAGGAGGCGGCGGCGGCGGAGGGGGGCTAGGAGGCAGCGGGGGCGGCGGCGGCGGGGATGGAGGGCTAGGCGGTGGCGGCGGAGGCTGCGGGGGAGGAGGAGGAGGGGGGCTAGGAGGCAGCGGTGGCAGCAAGGCAGGCGGCACGCCAGGCGGGAGCGGTGCAGGAGATGGCGGTGCGGGGCTGGGCGCCAGGTGGGAGAGGTTCAGGAGAGGGATGGGGTGGTGGTGGTGGGGGAGGAGGCGGCGGCGGCGGAGGGGGGCTAGGAGGCAGCGGGGGCGGCGGCGGCGGGGATGGAGGGCTAGGCGGTGGCGGCGGAGGCTGCGGGGGAGGAGGAGGAGGGGGGCTAGGAGGCAGCGGTGGCAGCAAGGCAGGCGGCACGCCAGGCGGGAGCGGTGCAGGAGATGGCGGTGCGGGGCTGGGCGCCAGGTGGGAGAGGTGCAGGAGAGGGATGGGGTGGTGGTGGTGGGGGAGGAGGCGGCGGCGGCGGAGGGGGGCTAGGAGGCGGCGGGGGCGGCGGCGGCGGGGATGGAGGGCTAGGCGGTGGTGGTGGAGGCTGCGGGGGAGGAGGAGGAGGGGGGCTAGGAGGCGGCGGTGGCAGCAAGGCAGGCGGCACGCCAGGCGGGAGCGGTGCAGGAGATGGCGGTGCGGGGCTGGGCGCCAGGTGGGAGAGGTGCAGGAGAGGGCTGGGGTGGTGGTGGTGGGGGAGGAGGCGGCGGCGGCGGAGGGGGGCTAGGAGGCAGCGGGGGCGGCGGCGGCGGGGATGGAGGGCTAGGCGGTGGCGGCGGAGGCTGCGGGGGAGGAGGAGGAGGGGGGCTAGGAGGCAGCGGTGGCAGCAAGGCAGGCGGCACGCCAGGCGGGAGCGGTGCAGGAGATGGCGGTGCGGGGCTGGGCGCCAGGTGGGAGAGGTGCAGGAGAGGGATGGGGTGGTGGTGGTGGGGGAGGAGGCGGCGGCGGCGGAGGGGGGCTAGGAGGCGGCGGGGGCGGCGGCGGCGGGGATGGAGGGCTAGGCGGTGGCGGCGGAGGAGGGGTGGTGGTGGTGGGGGAGGAGGGCTTGGTGGTGGCGGTGGCAGGGGAGGTGGTGGCAGCGGAGGGGGGCTTGGTGGTGGTGGCGGCGGCGGCAGTGGGGTGGCGGAGGGGGAGTTCTGGGTGGTGGTGGGGGAGGAGGCGGCGGCGGCGAAGGGGGGCTAGGAGGCGGCGGCGGGGGCGGCGGGGGAGGAGGAGGAGGAGGAAGGGGCGGTGGCGGTGGGGGCGGGGGACGCGGTGGTGGGGGCGGGGGACGCGGTGGTGGGGGCGGGGACTGAGGAGGTGGTGGAGGCGGCGGCGGGGCGGTGTCTCCAGCGAGGGAGGCGGCGGGGCGGAGGCGGCGGGGCTGGGCGTCTCCAGCGAGGGATGCAGCACGCCAGGTGGGAGCGGTACAGGAGATGGCGGTGCGGCGCAGCAGCCGCCTCCATCGGCCCGCCGTACTCCGCCTGAGGGGGGAGGGGAGGAGAAGGGGTGCGGGGACACAAGGAGGTTAAGGAGGAGGCGGAATGCAAGTAGTATAACAGACGGGCAGGCGTTGCTGAACACCCGAATCCCGCGCAACACATTGGAGACCCATGTGTCACCCACCCGTGCTCGAGGTGACGAAGGCAGCGAGCCGCGAGCAGAAGAAGGGAGCGGTGCAGGATATGGCGGCGCAAGGCTGGCGGCGCCGGCGAGGTAGGCGGCACGCCAGGCAGGAGGGGAGGGGAGGAGGGACCCCCCTCCCTGCACTAGTTCGGCGGCGGCAGAGGGGGGCTAGGAGGCGGCGGTGGTGGGGGCGGGGGCTGAGGTGGTGGAGGCGGCGGGGGCGGCGGCGGGGGGGTGGTGGTGGAGGGCTGGGCGGTGGTGGTGGAGGCTGCGGGGGAGGAGGAGGGGGGCTAGGAGGCGGCGGCGGCAGCGGGGGCGGCGGCGGCGGGGATGGAGGGCTAGGCGGTGGCGGCGGAGGAGGGGGGGTGGTGGTGGGGGAGGAGGGCTTGGTGGTGGCGGTGGCAGGGGAGGTGGTGGCAGCGGAGGGGGCTTGGTGGTGGTGGCGGCGGCGGCAGTGGGGTGGCGGAGGGGGAGTTCTGGGTGGTGGTGGGAGAGGAGGCGGCGGCGGCGGAGGGGGGCTAGGAGGCGGCGGTGGTGGGGGCGGGGGCTGAGGAGGTGGTGGAGGCGGCGGCGGGGGCGGCGGGGGAGGAGGAGAAGGAGGAGGAAGGGGCGGTGGAGGCGGGGGACGCGGTGGTGGGGGCAGGGGCTGAGGAGGTGGTGGAGGCGGCGGTGGGGCGGTGTGGTCGAGGGAGGCGGCGCGCTAAGCGGGAGCTGTGCAGGAGATGGCGGCTTGGAGCCGAGAGGAGCAGGCTAGGGAGGCGGCGCGCTAGGCGGGAGCTGTGCAGGAGATGGCGGCTTGGAGCTGAGAGGAGCAGGCTAGGGAGGCGGCGCGCTAGGCGGGAGCTGTGCAGGAGATGGCGGCTTGGAGCTGCATGCCGGGCTGCGGAGGGGGGGAGGGGGAGGGAGACGGGAGGGGGAGGGAGGGAGGAAGGGAACGCGCGCGACAGAGTACGACAGGGGCTTGGAGGAGGTATACACACGAATCCCGCTCCTGTTATCCGGCCCCCCCCCTCCACCCAGCTGCCCCCGAGCCCCTTCACTACCCCCAACCCCTTCCCCCCTGCCTCGCCACACCGCGCCCACCTGCGCTGCTCGGTCCCATGTGGAGAAGTGGCACACCAGGAGGGAGTGGAGGGGGAGGAGATGGTGGTGCGGGGCTGGGCGGAGAAGGCGAGGGAGGCGGCACGCCAGGAGGGAGCGGTGCAGGAGATGGCGGTGCGGGGGCTGGGCGGAGAAGGCGAGGGAGGCGGCACGCCAGGAGGGAGGGAGGGGAAGGAGGAGTTCGTGTGGTTCTGCTGCCGCTGCTGCTGCCGCTGCTGCTACTGGGGCTCCGTGAGTCCACAATAGAGAGGGCTGCGTGCCTGGCTGGATGAGGAGGAGCGGCGGTGGAGGGGGGCTAGGAGGCGGCGGTGGTGGGGGCGGGGGCTGAGGAGGTGGTGGAGGCGGCGGCGGGGGCGGCGGGGGAGGAGGAGGAGGAGAAGGAAGGGGCGGTGGCGGTGGTGGCGGGGGAGGAGGAGGAGAAGGAAGGGGCGGTGGCGGTGGTGGCGGGGGAGGCGGTGGTGGGGGCGGGGGCTGAGGAGGTGGTGGAGGCGGCGGCGGGGCGGTGTGGTCGAGGGAGGCGGCGTGAAGGAGATGGCGGCTTGGAGCTGAGAGGAGCAGGCTAGGGAGGCGGCGCGCCAGGCGGGAGCGGTGCAGGCTGGGCGTCTCCAGCGAGGGATGCAGCACGCCAGGTGGGAGCGGTACAGGAGATGGCGGTGCGGCGCAGCAGCCGCCTCCATCGGCCCGCCGTACTCCGCCTGAGGGGGGAGGGGCAGGGAGGAGCGGGCGAGGGTGGGAGGAAGGGAACGCGCGCGACAGAGTACGACAGGGGCTTGGAGGAGGTATAGACACGAATCCCGCTCCTGTTATCCGCCCCCCCTCCACCCAACTGCTCACGCCATCCAACAGCTGCTGTGCCCTGTGTTGCAGGTGTTAGCAGGATCTCCCGGTGCCCCCCAAGTTCCCTCCTCTTCACGACCCCCTTCCCTGCATCTCTGCCCGCCCTACTTTGACCCAACTCACATCTTCGTGCTAGGCGCTGCGGGCGATGGTGTTGGGAGGGGCAGAGGTGCCGTGGCTGGGGGCTGGTGGCTGAGGGCGGTTCCCAACACGGCGAAGGCTGCTGTGGAGAGGCTGCTCGACCCTAGAACGTAGCTTTGCCCCTTTAGTCATTGGTGAACGCATCAGATGCGTTTCACCGACTCAGGATGCAAAGCCCCTTCGGACCGATCGGCATGGCCGAAAGGCCGAAGGTCGTTCTGTTCTTTGGGTTCTGCTGCTGCTGCTGCTGCTGCCGCTGCTGCTGCTGGAGCTCCACGAATCCACAGCACTCCAGATGTCCATCTTCTCCCAAAGGATCCTGTAACCGCAAAAGGGATGGCGCGCTGGATCAAGTTTGAAAAGGGCAAAGTTCGTAGAACAGGCTTAACAGGCGCCGATTTAGGCAAAGCTGGTCTGTTTGAATGATTGCAAGGTAAACAGATATGGGGAAGCCACATAGCTGCAGACATCGCGCGCGAACCTACCATGCAAGCGCCGAAGCTCCATATGCCCTCACTAGCGTATCCTGTGGATGCAAAGGATGGGCTTCGCATCTCGAGTCATTGAACATTGGTAGTGTGTCCCAAATTCAACAGCGCAATTCAAAATAATAGCGAAGATTGTGGCCGCATACCGGTAAGCAATGACTGTGCATTACTATAAGTTAAGCAGCAAGAAGATTATAAACCTATGTTGATGTGGAGACTGCGTGGAAAGGTGGAGCAAAGTGCCTTAACTACTACGCCCTCATGTCTGCCTTGTACGGAAGGAAGATCCGTATTCCGGTTAGGCGCCCTTGCATTAAGCGACCACACTGGCTCTATACAAACAATTGCCAATACGCCATAAAGTATATGTGTGCCCAGACAATTGACTTAGCAAGACTTGATAGCCTGTGCATGCCTCGCCCAAAAGGTTTCCATCCTACCTAGGTAGACCCATACCCACTGAAACGTTGCGATGCTTTATTCTGTGCCGCTTGAATAAGTACGTGTTGAATCTGGTCCTTGCGGCAGGTCGATTTCCTTTCGGCGAACTGGGTGACACGTCGGGCTCCTATGAAAGCGGTACACTGGCACTAAAAAGTGCACCAAACAACAGCTATACTGCATATATGTTACATGCAAGCGATGGCTTATTGTTCAGGGATACTTGTGTCTAGATTTTGAGGGCGAATCATTGCGACGCCGCTCGGCGCGTACAAGGAACGCTATGACGATTGCGCCCCATATAGTGCAGCTATTGTGTTGCTAGGTCGTATGGTTTCTTCATCTGTTCTTGGGCGGCTCTTGTGTGCATGCGCCCGGGCCGTCCCATCCTTGTTAGCGTTATCCCTAAAACCCTAAACCCCCCACAGTTGACCAGGGGCATGTGCGGGAGAAGGACATTTTTGGGAAGGTGGACGACTGGGGGTTGCATCATGGGATTCTGAAGGATGATGTGACCGCTGTTGCTTGCATCACCACACCAAAGCCTCACCTGGCTCAGGCGTGGGAGCGTTTCATGCGTGATTTGTCCTTCCGTCAGCTTATGGTGTTGCATGTTGCGCCATTTTGGAATGCCACGATTCCAAATGGGGTGGAGCCGTGGGACCATGCACTACAGGGTCCTGATGAGTTACGGTGTGAGTGAGGCAGATGCTAAGGGCCTGTGGAGGCATGCTATTTTCTATGCTAAGAATGGAGGCATGTGGCATAAGCAGCCTGCACAGTGGGATGCGGTTCCTTATTCTGAGCAAGCTCACCGTCGTTGCAAGGCAAGGATGTCTTTCTTCATTCTCAACAGTGACTTGAGTGCTGGCGTTGATCCTGTCAAGTCACTGGGTGTTGTGTGTGAACGTGCCAGTGACAACAACCTTTCGTACACGGTGCATCTGGAGGGGATGCAGCAGGCTGTACTAGGAGTGATGCATGTACCTGATAGCTTGTATGTCCGAGAAGGGCAGGTGGGTCACGACCAGTCAGTTGATGCTGGATGGGGGCGAGCCATACCCATCATGTCATCAGGAGCTTGGAGGTCATTCCTGGAGAGTCGGCGTGGTGGCCGAGTACTTGACGCCAGTACAATCTTTGGCGTGGTTCAGAACCTCCATGACACCAAGATCGTCGAGAGAGGAGTCAATGTGATGCGGCCTTTGTTTCAGGTGAGCATTAAATGGGAACTGATTCCAGGGGACGGAGGTTATTCTGGGAAATGGGTAATTCCATGGGCTGGGGACGATTCCAGGAAATGGGGGCGATTCTGGGAAATGGGGGTGATTCCAGGAAATGGGGGCGATTCCGGGGAATGGGGGCCATTCCGGGAAATGGGGACAATTCCGGGGAATGGGGTGATTCCGGGGAACGGGGGCGATTCCGGGGAATGGGGTGATTCCGGGGAATGGGGGCGATTCCGGGGAATGGGGGTGATTCCAGGAAATGGGGGTGATTCCGGGAAATGGGGGTGATTCCAAGGAATGCGGGCAATTCCAGGAAATGGGGGTGATTCCGGGGAATACGGGCGATTCCAGGAAATGGGGGCGATTCCGGGGAATGGGGGCGATTCCGGGAAATGGGGGCGATTACGGGGAATGGGGGCCATTCCGGGAAATGGGGACAATTCCGGGGAATGGGGTGATTCCGGGGAATGGGGGCGATTCCGGGGAATGGGGGCGATTCCGGGGAATGGGGGCGATTCCGGGGAATGGGGGCGATTCCGGGGAATGGGGGCGATTCCAGGAAATGGGGGAGATTCCGGGAAATGGGGGTGATTCCGGGGAATGCGGGCGATTCCAGGAAATGGGGTGATTCCGGGGAATACGGGCGATTCCAGGAAATGGGGGCGATTCCAGGGAATGGGGGCGATTCCGGGAAATGGGGGCGATTCCGGGGAATGGGGGCAACGCCGGGGAATGTTGGGTGCTTACTTTGAGTTGGGTCAAGATCAAAGGAATCAGGGCTGACACAGGGGATTGTTCCTATTGCAATGACATGCAGGTGATTATGACAAAGATGCATGGTGGTCCACTATACACCAAGACGTTGATCCTTCCGGCTAGCTCATATAAGTCGTTCATGCCCCGAGAGCTGGCCCCTGGCATCCGTGAGCGGGACAAGGTGTATGCGAAGTCCTACATCTATGAGGAGTGTGGTGATTCTGGTGGCAGCTCTTCTGAGGATCCGGATGATGAGCTCCTAGAGGATAGCTACATGGAGCTCAATGAGACGGAGCTTAAGGGTAAGCTGTTGGGCTCTGACTTGTAAATGGGGCAGTGAACTCTGATACCAAAATGACTTGTGAACTTTGACATCTGTTTGCAGGGATGCGAGTTATGCCGGAGGAGCCAAGGAAGGACCCATGTGAGGGGTACCAACGGGTTCAATGGTGGGAGGAGCAATCTGTGAGTGTGCGGGGCAGGGGGGGAAGGGGCAGGACTGGTGGCAGACAGGGTTCAAATGTGCAGGGCGGGGTAGGCCGTGGGCAGTTTGATGGTCGTGGCAGGGGTCGAGGGAGAAGGGGGGGGAGAGGGGGACATAACAGTCCACCTCATGGTGGGAGGGGGGTGTACACATACATGTCAGGCGGACGTGGGCAGCAACAGAACAACCTGCATGGAGGTGCTTATGGAGGTCCTGGTGGCAGTGGTGGCACGGAGCGTGGGGCCAATGCCCAGGACAGTGGCAGGCATGGTGGAGGCAGCAGTGAGGGTGCCAACAGGGACACGGGTGCCCCCAATACTGTCCCAATTGGTGACACCAACAATGATGCCTCTGGTGAGGGGACTCCCCAAGTAGGTGGGGGAGGGAGGGTGGGGCAGGGGGCTTCTGGGGGGAGGGCACCAGTAAGCAGGGGCACACGGGGGAGGGGACAGGGGAGGGGCAGGGGGCAAGGGCTGGGGGTTCGTGTGTGTGGAGTACGTACAAGGGAAGAGGAGACTGAGGGGGTTGATCTGAGGGCAACGAAGCGGGCAAGGATGGTGGGTGTCGAGCATATGTCAGGGAAGGAGAGGCCCCAACGGGTGTCTGGTGGAGATGGGCATCAAATTGGGGCTACTTTGCTGACAGGGAGAGAAAGGCAGAGGATGTTGTCGGACTTTTTTAGGCACACGGGTGTGGCTGTGCAGCAAGGGGAAAGGGGGGTTGTTAACAATGGTGAGGGGGTCTTGGAGGCTGAGGACGGGGACCATGACAGGTCTGAGGGGGTGCCTGGGGACGGTGGGTTGCAGGGGCAAGGGGCACGGGAGGGAGGATGTGGGGGGCAGCAGCAACAGGTGGCCCAGGAGGGAGGATGTGGGGGGCAGCAGCAACAGGTGGCAAGTGGCATGAGTGTCAGTGAGGGGGGCTTGGAGGCTGCTGACGGGGCCCATGACAGGTCTGAGGGGGAGACTGGTGGTGGTGGGTTGCAGCAACAGGTGGCCCAGGAGGGAGGATGTGGGGGGCAGCAGCAACAGGTGGCAAGTGGCATGAGTGTCAGTAAGGGGGGCTTGGAGGCTGCTGACGGGGCCCATGACAGGTCTGAGGGGGAGACTGGTGGTGGTGGGTTGCAGGGGCATGGGGCACGGGAGGGAGGATGTGGGGGGCAGCAGCAACAGGTGGCAAGTGGCATGAGTGTCAGTGAGGGGGGCTTGGAGGCTGCTGACGGGGCCCATGACAGGTCTGAGGTGGAGACTGGTGGTGGTGTGTTGCGTGGGGGTCCAATAGCTGTCAAGGAAGAAGAGGCAGCCCAGTCTGTATCAACTTCAAGAGGGTCTAACCGTTCAGGGGGGGGGCCTATAAATGGAGTGGTTGACCTTGTGTCCAGCAGTGTGTCTGGTGGGGATGGGGTTCCAAGTGAATCATCAGAGGGCACTAGTGGGAACAGTTCAGGGGAGGGGCCTAAGGATGAAGTGATTGACCTTGTGTCCAGCAGTGTATCTGGTGAGGATGGGGTTCAAAGTGAATCATCAGAGGGCAGGGGTGGGAACAGTGGGGAGGAATCGGAAATTCCGTCGTATATGATTGAGACATGTATTATTGATGGTGGAAGAATTCAATGGGAGGAAGAGAATGGGGAGGAAGTGCCCCCACCAGAGAGGATTGGAGAGGATGGGTTTTTGTACCAGGACCTGCCGGGTGGCATGGTAGTGCGGGCAATAGCTTGCTACAAGGAGAAAGATGGAGAAATCAGGTATATATGGAAGTTGATGGATAGGGAAAAATGGTGGCCTAAGTGATGCCCCATGTTTACCCATCCAGTTGCCACCATGGCAATGACTGTACTGCCACAACTGCTCAGGAGAGTGTGATATTTTGGTATGGAGTTGGACTCAGGAGATACTTGTTCAAGGTCTTGAGTTCTGCTTGAGTTGTGATAAGGGCTTTTGAGGTGGTCAGACATGGCAGACGAACTTAAAAGCCATGTGTGTAACTGTTCATTATCTAAAAGGTTTGGTCCATTTTCATGAAATGATCCCCCATTCTGCCAAAACCAGCACCCATTTCATGACATCAGCCCCCATTCCTTGGAATCAGCCGCCATTCCATGGAATCAGCCCCCATTCCATGGAATCAGCCTCTATTATTAGGCTTCAGCCCCCATTCAACGGAATCAGCTCCCATTCCATGGAATCACCCCCATTCCCCGGAATCGCCCCATTCCCCGGAATCGCCCCATTTCCCGGAATCGCCCCATTTCCCGGAATCGCCCCCATTTCCCGGAATGGCCCCCATTCCCCGGAATCGCCCCCATTCCATGCAATCAGCACCCATTCCATGAAATCAGCCTCCATTGTCTGGCTTCAGTTTCCATTCATGTCTACTAGGTACTTGCCTGCCTGCAAAGAGAGGGGCATGGTGGGACTTGCCTAACTGCAGGAGAGGGGTTGGGGGGCCTGCCTGTGTGGGCAAGAGGGGGCTTGACTGCCTGAAGGTGGGGGTGGGGGTGGGTGCCTCTTCCTGGAAGGGCATTTGGGTACTTGCCTGCCTTCAGAAGGAGGGTGAGGCATGCCTGGGTGGGCATGGGAGGACTTGCCTAGCTGCAGGAGAGGGGTAGGTGGGACTGCCTGGGTGGGCAAGAGTGGGCTTGGCTACCTTGGGGATGGGTGCCTGCCTGCCTGAGTGGGCATGACATGACTTGCCTGCCTGCATGAGAGAGGGTGGGTGCCTGCCTGCCTGGGTGGGCACAAGATGGCTTGCCTGCCTGCAGGGGGGAGGATGAGTGCCTGCCTAGCTGGGTGGGCATGGTGACTGTAGGGTGGGCCTACTGGGTTGGGGTGAGATGTATACCAAGCCAGCCAGTACAGCATCACATATTGGCATTATTAAAGCTATCTTAAGCCTAATTGGATGAAGATACTTGCAAAATATGCCTGGGGAGCACTAAAGTCAGCCGGTCAAAGTTGCGGAAGTGTTGACCAAACTTTGACCGGCCATAACTTTTTACCTAGGGGGGATAGTGATATATTTTTTTTACAGATTCGGAATCTACATAAAAAATGCTGTCGATTGGTACCCTTTTTGGAAGAAACTGTCGTTGGACGCCTTTAGAAAACCCCCCAGTAAACCCTAAAACCCTAAAACCCTAAAACCCTAAAACCCTAAAACCCTAAAACCCTAAAACCCTAAAACCCTAAAACCCTAAAACCCTAAAACCCTAAAACCCTAAAACCCTAAAACCCTAAATCCCTAAAACCCTAAAACCCTAAAACCCTAACTGAAACCCTAAATAACCATATAACCCTAACTGCAACCCTAAATAACCATATAACCCTAACTGAAACCCTAAAAAACCATCTTTTCTAAAATTCGGTTATCCTAACCATTTATGATAATTTGTTATGCTAAAACTTATGCTAAATATTACGCTAAAAATATTCTTAAATTATCCTAACTATTACCCTAAGTCGGCAGCTCATTTCGCCTTTGTGTGCTTGCCGCTCGCTTTTCCTTGCTCCTTCCACAGGCAAAACGCCATATCAGGAAATGGGGTGATTCAGTGGAATGGGGTGATTTGGGGAAATGGGGTGATTCCGTGGAATGGGGGGCGATTCTGGGGAATGGATGATTCTGGGAAATGGGGCGATTCCGTGGAATGGGGTAATTCTGTACAATGGGGTGATTCCGGGAAATGGGGTGATTCCGGGAAATGAGGCGATTCCGTGGAATAGGGTGATTCTGTACAATGGGGCATTTCCATGGAATGGGGTGATTCCGTGGAATCGGGTGATTCAGTGGAATGGGGTGATTCCGTGGAATGAGGTGGTTCCTTGGAATGGGTGAAGTGGCATGAAGGGGGAGGGGGTTGTGCAATTGGCTATGTGCTGTTGTTGGCAGCAGGCAAGCTATGTGTGGGTGCAAGTGGCAGGAGAGGGGGAGAGGCTTGTGCAATTGGCAGGGGGGAGGAGGGCCTAGATTGCTGGCAGAATGCAAGCAATATGTTGTTGGCAGTTGGCAGTAGACAAGCTATGTGTGGGTGCAAGTGGCAGGTAAGGAGGGAGAGGCTTGTGCAAATGGCAAGGGGGGGCTGGGTTGTTGCCATCAGGCAGGCCCCTAAGTTGATGCAAGTGGCAGGAGAGGGGTGAAAGGCTTGTACAAGTGGCAAGGGGGGAGGCTGGGTTGTTAGCAGCAGGCAGGCCCTAAGTTGGTGTAGTGGCAGGAGGGGGGGGGGGCTTGTGCAATTGGCAGGGGGGATGCTGGGTTGTTGGCAGCAGGCAAACTATTTAGGGTTTGCCTGCCTGCAGAGGGAGGGACTTGCCTAGCTGCAGAAGAGGAGGTGGGAGGCCTGCCTTGGTGGGCAAGAGGGGGCTTGGCTACCTGAAGGGGTGGGGGCTGGTGCCTCTTCCTGGGTGGGCATTTGGATACTTGCCTGCCTGCATAGGGAGGGTGAGGCCTGCCTGGGTGGGCATGGGAGGACCTGCCTAGCTGCAGGAGATGGGGGGGCCTGCCTGGGTGGGCAACGAGGGCTTGGCTAAGGGGAGAGGGTTTGGTGCCTGCCTGCCTGGGTGGGGATTGAGGAATTGCCTGCCTGTATGAGAGAGGGTGGGTGCCTGCCTGCCTGGGTGGGCACAAGATGGCTTGCCTGCCTGCATTGGGGGAGGATGAGTGCCTGCCTGGCTGGGTGGGCATGGGGTACTTTGGGGTGGGCCTGCTGGGTGGGGGTGAGATGTATACCAAGCCAGCCAGTACAACATGACATATAGGCATTAATACAGCTATCCTAAGCCTAGTTGGGTGATAATACTTGCAAAATATGCCTGGGGAGCACTAAAGTCAGCCGGTCAAAGTTGCGGAAGTGTTGACCAAACTTTGACCGGCCATAACTTTTTACCTAGGGGGGATAATGATATATTATTTTTAAGGATTCGGAATCTACGTTAAAAAGGCTGTCGATTGGTACCCTTTTTGGAAGAAACTGTCGTTGGACGCCTTTTGAAAAACCCCCAGTAAACCCTAAAACCCTAAAACCCTAAACCCTAAAACCCAAAACCCTAAAACCCTAAAACCCTAAAACCCTTAATTTTTATGATTTTTATATTTTGGGGTTTTAGGGTTTTGCGGTAAGGTTTTAGGGTTTCACCTGGGGTTTAAGGGTTTTTTTCAAGGGTTTTAGGGTTATCAGCTGACTCTTGGGCTGGAACCACACCCAACCCTGTCAAAACCGTGGTGAACCTCATCAACCCCACCGCACCCAGCCTGACCAAAGCACACTGAACCGTATGGAACCCCCATGCAACCGCACCCAGCTTAACCGTACTTTACCCCATGTAACCACAGTGAACCGTGTAGAATCATGCAGAACCACACCCAACCGTAGACAAGCAAAGCAAACCGCAACCTTTACCAGCCCACCAAACCCAACCAAATCCAATATAACCAAAACATCAACCACCCAGCACCAAAACTAACTCTAATGTACTTCAGCCCGTCAACCGTACCAAACCCAATCCAACCCCACAGAACCACACCAACACGTACCCAAGCATACCCAATCCGAACCCTCCCTCTATGAGAGCCCACCCCAATGCTACCAATGTGAACCAAGAAACCAAACATCAACCACAGGGCACTCTGCCAAAGTCGAACAAACCCCATGCTTGCAGACCGAACCACAGGATACCACACGCAGAAATGCATGTTTGCCATGGCTGCAGTATGCATGTTCGTCAGCATAAGTGCTGGGCGGCATGTGTCTAGGTTTGGTATGCATCTAACAGGTGCTTTGCAACCGTGTACTGCATACCTGACGGTAACCTGCCCTTGGCTTGGCGGTAGCAGGCGCTTTATTATTTGCTAAGACACACAACACACATCAACATATAATATGCGAGGGATGATAACAAATATAAGACGTGTTGCCTGATGTGCCGACATTTCCAACAGAAACACTTACATTTCATATATGGCTTAGGATCGCATCATCAGATATGCGTTAGTTGCATTGGGTAAGATGCTTTCATAGAAGCGTCTTGTGGGGAGAATATGTATTTTGTGGTGGCCAAAGCTTCAAGGGGTGTTTCGCACCAGGACATACAATTGTAGTGACAACTAACCAACATCGTTAATGCTGTGCAGGATCACAAGGGATCAATGAAGCGAAGGATGGAGGATGTATGGAGGGGAAAAGCCATCAGTAAAAAGGCCAAGAAGAATGGTAGGCGGCCGATTGCTTCTACGAAGATGATGAGGAGGAGGAGGAGCTGAGCTATCAACCAAAATGATGCACGACAGTAAGCCGAGGGCTCCCATGTGGGAGGATTGCTATCTTTCTTGCCAGGGTTCTATTGCCAACATGCGCGCATGCTTGTAATCAGTCTTGCATTGAAAGCTTTTAAAGAAAGCTTTAGGTTAAGTTAAAATAAGGGTGAGGCATTGCCGCTGTCACCTTTACCTTCGCATCCCTATCCTTGGTTGCTAACCGTGGGTGCCCTACATGCTTTGCTGTCATTCATTATCTTTGCAGGAGCGTGGTTGGATGGCTCCGGCAAATAAGGCTCGACAGCAGCGCCATGTTACAGCAGTGGAACCTCCAGGCCTCTACAACCGCCCTGCTTTGTTACGCACTGCTTGGGACAGCCCATCATCTCACCAGCTGTCTCTAGCTGCCTTGGATGTTGATAGCGATCCGGAGGATGGGTACGGCTCCCTGCCACCAGCACCACTGCGACAGTATCAACAGCAGCAATTGCCACAACCAGTGCAGCACCAGCAGCCCCAGCGAGGATGAGGGTGCCGGCAGCGGTGGGTGTAAAGCCAAGCTTCCATCAAAAGTGCCCCTTCTTTGCTGGCCTTCTCACATGGTGAAGAAGAAGCGGTTTGGGCTTCTGTCTATACTCAAGAAGATACCAGCGCAGATGCCAGTTGGCAAGGAGCTCAACCACTACGAATGGTGGTGTACCGAGGCCTTTGACTTTACCATCGAGGACTTCACTCAGGCCAAGCCGGAGACC